GCGTAACTCGTCGAACGATTTCTCGTCGAAAAGGACTTAAATAATTTTTGGTCATAACTCTCAAAATATTCACCTGCCAGAAAAATCGGTTAAGATTTTCTGCACTTTCTCCGAGGATAAAGCGACCGAAGCATGTAACTGACCATGGCATGTGGAGGTTTGCCTTCACATACAAACTTGTCAATTTCAGGTCAAGGATAGGTCTGGGTAATGTCTAGATCACGAAGATATCAGCCCATTGGTTTGCCTTTAAATATTAGGAAGATATTTCAAGTTCAATGTTTCTCACGTTTATTTCTACCGAATTGTAGGTATCTGATTGGCCATACTCATGTGCATTTGAAGTCACGAATGGGTCTTTATCCTTGTCTTGTCGTAATGCTGTATTTATTAAATGCTATGTCTGGCCATACGTCTACATATATTCTAGCTATACTGTAAGAAACTCCAACTCTTCTCTATTTTTATAAGAAATTTTATGTTAGCACATTATAATTAGATAAGACAATATCTTATCTTTCGTAATTATAATTCGTAAAGCACACAATGTCCATCAATGATAGTTTTGTCCAACTTGTGTTTTGTTTTCATACACCTAAAGTCTTATAAGATGACAATTTGCATGCAGTACATATGCATATCTGTGGCCATGTATAGTTTCATACGCCCTTTTTGTGAGCGATATTTAATGATGTAACGTCATGTGTCTGACAAATTATGGTGTGGGACGAGTGAAGAAAGTTTTCGGAACAGTGATCTCCACTCACTATCCTATTTCACCAAGGGTCAAACAGGCTTAATGTACAATGTTTATTGCTACTGAACATTAGTTTACTAAACTGCTGGCAAATTATTTCACTTACATGTAAAAATATTTACCTTTTATTTCTCAACCCCCCTCCTTCTCCAATTAAGCGCCTTATTAAATTAGATGAATTCTCTCGTTCCTATTAGCTGTAACTGGCTTAGATGTTCAGTCCTTAGCGTTCATAATTCACAGCTGTATGCATAACGTAATGGTAGAAGGCGGCAGACCTGAGCTTCTACTAAGCTTCTTCCTGTCAATGACGTAGCAACGAAACTGGTCTTCTAATACGGCTACAATAAACTGATTTGTGGACGAAAATTCAGAGTACTGATATTTCTGCCGCAGCCGTGTTTCCAACGCTGGCTCTGCACGACCACGAGAAGGTGCGGGCGACGGCGAATGAGCAGGACAGACAGAAGAAATTCCACCAGTCGAGAGGTTCGTTAAGTTAGTATCACGTTGCTTCTTATACGTCTGTCTGTATTATTCCCCATTTCTGGTGGCGCTCACGGTTTCAAACGTCTTCCTTCCTTTCTGGCATGATATATATTTTGGTCCACATAACGACGTTTTATCAGCTGAACGGGTTACACAACATCCAACAACAGGATGTTAATGATGTACTTCTGGGTTGTGACGCTGTGTGGACTTGTAGGTAGATTTATGATCTGAAACTTTCACGGCGACTAAGTATAATGAATTCTTCTCGGGCCACCAGCCGTGTAGGGTGGTTTAATGGAGAAAACACCAACGTTTCGAGAACCATCTTCGTCCTGATCCTCAGGGTACTGCAGTATAAAGATGGTTCTCGAAACGTTGGTGATTTCTCCAAAAAAACCACCTTTACACGGCTGGTAGCCCGAGAAGAATTCATTGTAGGTAGATACCAACATTTCAGATGAACATACTGCCTTCATCTTCGGCCCAGAAGAAGAGCATAGACATCTTCATCGCCGAGAGAATCTCAAATTCACAACACCAAGATATCTGTATAAACAATTGTGGAGGTTTTCGAACAAAGGATCGCGTCCAATTTAGTGTACTGCTCAGCTAGTTTCCTAGATTATCAGAAGAAAATCACCCAAATCCTCCGTGAGGATAGCCATTCTGACGGCCGAGATTCGAATCCGGGCTCTCTTGGATACGAAGCAGGAGCGCGGATGCCTGCGATAATGGCTGCGTACTATGTCCATACATCTGTGGAAACTCTTTCAGATGTACCAACAAGAATCCGAGAAATAATTTGACTTCGACTTGCCTACAAAAACTTAAATCTATGTACAACAGCAATAAAAATTATAAATCAATACAGTTTATATATATATATATATATATTAAAGTGCATAATTGTAAACAGCGTAGATTCTCACCTTCGTAAAATTTCCAGAGATACTACAACTTCAAAGTATTTGCATCTCCTCCATCTTTGTAACACAAACAACATCCATACAAATATTTCCGGCATAATGTTATCCATAAAGTGCAATGTTTCGCTAGTTATGACCAAGAACATAGTAATACAAATTTCGCGTGGCAGACCTAAAATTGAGAGGTCAACTTCCCGTGGAAAGAAGCACGGTCACCCACAGCATGGGAGGGCAATGCGCTGACCAAGAAATTTTTTCCAAACCAGTAAAGAGAGAGAATGGGAAGAAAAAAAAAGGGGGGGGGGGCTCCTGCCCGGTAATCTGACTGTGGCTGTCCAACCCGTAGACCGACACTTTCACGACCTGGGTTTGCAATAATTCTGTTACATAATTATGCAGTTGATAAAGCGTCGTCTATTAAATAATCAAACAAAAACGTGACAATGAAATTCATAAACGAAGAAAATATTCTAGACTTGACATTTATTTTCGCCTCAAGGATTAAACAGGAACAAGGTACTGATTTTTTGCCGGTATTTTCTAAACAGGGTCATTATTTCGTAGCGGTAGTTGAGTAGCCTTCCATTATGTGTTCTGTAAAATGTCCTTCTTGACTTCCTTCCCGTGTACATGTCTGTTGTATGAACATAGTTCTGGGGTTTAACTTGTGTGCATGAACCAGCCACGTTGTACTGAACTGGTCACAAGTGGATAGAATAATAGCAGTAGATGTCACTTTTATATTGGATAGTCAGTAATGAATATATTAATAAGCTAGGATAGCAGTCTCTTCAAACCAATACGAAAACAGCGTAATATAAACAGAAAATATTAATGCCCAATACGTAATTATATTGACAACAATAAAGCAGTTCTTGAGTCTTCAAGGAGAGGTTGAAACTGTCTTAAGTTTAGATTATGTAAATTGTAAAAGTGGGGAGAAAAACCCACATCCCTGAGGTGACGGTCACCATTGCAAATGCACCACAAATGAACATAAAATACTGTTTTTTCTGTTTAATAAGAGTAAAGGTAATAGCAGGCATACACGAATAACGTTTAACAACATATGACATAATTTTCGTGAAGATATTGCACACATATTTTGCAAATGGTTTCTTAACAATTTATTGCCACCTTTAGACATTATATTACAGATCAGTCGCTAAAAGTTTAGATATGGCATGCAACTTCACAAACACAGCTTTAAAATAACGCATAATACAAAGTTTATTTAGACCCTTAAAATAAATCAAAACAAAATGGTTCGATGAAATTTTAAGTCCTCAAAATCAGTTTCACATTTCCAGAGTCTGGGCATTGTTACGTTTGAACGGACGGACGGACAGACGGACGGACGTGATAATTCACGGGTGTTTTCCTCCGAAATGAATCTAAAGAGGAGGAATGATGACATGAAATCCAAAGCACTGGATCCGAACATGGTCAAGAGCTCGACTTTGTGCTGACGACGAAGAGCATTCTAGCTCCATAATATAAATTTACTTTAAGACCTAAGTAATTGCTGATGGAACAGGGAAACTATTGGACTTTCTGGCTCAGCTGGCGACGAATTTGTTTTACTTTGACACGGTAATTTTCGTGTAATCAGCAAGTAGCCTAGTGACAGTTGGTTTAAAATATTAGGCTCGTGTAACCCATAAAACTCGTAACTATTAAGGGTTCGTGACTGTAAAACTGGTATGAATCATGATATCACTTTTAGACACGGGGTGAGGGATGGTTGTTGGTGAAATCACGAAAATAAATACCTATCTAAATTGCAAATTAGGACCCGTTTTCAGAAGCGTTACAAACACGCAAGGCTTGTAAAACAAGCTGGTGTTCCATTAACTAGTAAATTGTCTTGTAGGTTAACACTGCCAATACCAAATTCTACCATAAGACACAGTTCTGTCCATCTCCGAGCTTCACAAGCTATTTCTCGAACAACCATTTTAACAATCAACTAACAAGACTAATTCGGTATAAGAATCCGCCGATTGACTGACTACCTGCATAACGAGCTGACTCTCTGATTCCTGCTTGACTAGGTAACCAAATCACAAGCTCTGGTGAAATAACCATAAGGGTCAACAACGCTAATTCCGATTTCAGCCTCTCCCATCATCAGAATCTTTTCCCCTAAGATCCAAGGTAACATTTAACTTACTGACTGAATGGTACGCGAATCGACTGACTCTATGGTAATAGAATCTTTAGTTTCAATGCCACTGTTATCTGTTGTTTATTAAACAACGCTATCAGTAGCTCCAGCTACACAGTGTCGGATTATCTGATAATTAATTCATATGGAATGGAGAGGATACGGAAGGAATCGGTATTGGTATATTTTAAGGGAGTCCTAATATCCTGGAAATTTCCTGGAGGTACTGAGGGAAACCACGAAAACCCTGTCAGGATAGTCGGTCTCCTAGAGCGACGGTCGGTTTCAAAGCAGGTAACATAGGCCACGACGGTTTCCCTCCCTCTTTACATCCTTCGATGCTATATAACCGATCACGCGTAGTTAAACATAAATATTATAATAGGCGGAACCAGAATCTGATTTAAATGTAATCTTTCAGAGTGTTGCGCTGTTTTCATGCTAACCACTCGAATGCGACGTTCGGTAATGTCAATAATAACAAAGCCCGTCAACGGACACGAACCAACCCCAGGCCCATTCAGCACCCCACAATCTACTTCCCTGGGATCAATAATATTGTTTTCTATCTCCTCCTCGATCATCCAAATGATCGCTTTCCATGAAGTCTCCTTATAAAACTATGTATTTTTCTACCCCATCCGAGCTACTGATAATGCTGACACACATTAAAGTCGGAGTTTCATGTCATTCAATTGGTACCTATTACAGTTCTCTTAGTGACTGAATCGGGGTGAGACGGACTGTCGAACAAATTTTTAAAACTTCTTGAATGCAGAAAAAATTAGTGTCTCAAGCACGTGAATTCACTCACCATTTTTTACAAGACTTTACGTTTTAAGATTATATTACAGCCTCATCAAACCGAAGGTTCAATTTAATGGATGTGACGCGGAGCTTCAGTCATTATCGGTAATCAGAAACGAGCTGTACAATGGTAATGGTAGGCAATTAACCTTCCTTGCCAGTAAATTGGGTCACCTACATCGCAGGCGTAGATAACAATGAGGAAAGTTGTTCATCGAAACGCAAGGAAAATATCCTTGTTTACTAGATGGTATAAGTGCGAACAAATATTTTGAAAAAAGATATTGACAAATACAAAATATTATGAACAGAATCCGAACGTTCAAAACACAAATATCAAAGCCTGATACTGAACAAAGCTCTAAGATCCATATCATCTCGTCAAAAAATGGATAAAGCCTCCTGGAGTATTTCGCCATGTAGATTCGTATAATTTGACTCACGTTTCAGAAGTGCAAGTGCTTCCAGAGGATGGAAGCAGTATGCACCTCTGAAACGTCGGCCAACTTTTACCAGACTACACAGTGCAATAACTCAGAAGGCTATTATCTTCATGCTCGCCGCGGTGAGAACCTGACATCTTCAAATCACGTTTCTGAAATTCATTCCAATATTATTCTCTCCCATTCACGTCTAGATGTTTCAAGTTGTTCGCCTTCAATATTATATTTTAACCGAGATTTGCAGTTTTTGTTTCCAAATGCGATTTACATTCAAATTCCGTATCATCTTGTTCTAATTTATCATCTTAACTACCACTTCTCTGTTTGTCCAAAATATTCTTCCTATCACTTTGTTTTCATAAACCTTCAATCTGTGTTCTTTCCTCAAAATGAGAGTCGAGGTTTTTTGTCTGTACAAAACACATATATTATGAAGATTTCTGTCTTCTGGGTTGTCTGGGTTGCCTCCGTCATCAGGGCGATCATCGCCCTGATGACGGAGGCAGTATGACCTCTGAAACATTGGTTAACATCGACCAGACTACACAGCGCAACAACCCAGAAGACAGAAATCGTCATACTCACCGCTGTGAAAACCTCAAATCTTATATATTATATTATATTTCTACATGTTTAAATCTTTAGGTTATTGCAAACGAAATGAGACAAAACACTAAACACTTCAGATTTAATGTATCCTAAGTTCATCCTGAATATCTCCTCTCATATTTTATCGTCACTGTGAAGAATAAACGTTTCTTACATTTCATATAACTTATTAATGATTTTTAAGACTTTATGCTATATTCTGATTACGATACACACCAGGTTCTGTGTTATATGTTTTTACAGATATGAGTGGGGGTAAGAAATACGTTTACAGGGTATCTCAGAGTGACTCAGTGAATCGCTGAAACGTCTTTCTCAAGCTACTAAATCAATGTAACATGTGTTATAGGTATCTAAAACATTGCATTTCTGTCAAAAACTGGATAAGACTTATGAATGACGGCTTTGTAGATATAGATTCTTCCTAGAGGTATAGTGCCTGGAGCTTAAAGCACTCACATGTATCAAATGTAGAGGTTAGGAATGCGTGGAGCTTTACATCCATATTCTACATGCCTCCATTACTTAGTGTTTGGACACAGGGAAACTTTAGCTTTACCCCAACATAGTCTGGAGGGCTGGAAAGACTAATGAATTTCAGACTAGCAACTTCCGGGGCCAGGAATCAAATCTAGGACCTTCCTCGTACGAAGGAGTGCTAAGTACTTAATGCAAGATTGGGTGATAACGCTCAGATCACTGAACAGAACAGCAATGAAGAAATGTAAACAACCGCTGTTGGGCCAACGGCTGGCAAAGGCTGCCAAAGCTCCTGGATTTCAGTGCCTGTATTGATCTGCCAAAGGCGCTGTCTAGCTGAGCCCGGGGAAACACCACAATCCATTCCACCACCGAAAACTTGTTTCTAAACAAACCGTCTCCTCCTAGATATATTCATTAATCTTATTCCTGTGAATCACTTAATGACACTGTATTGTATGCATTTGTTAAGAGTCATCTTCTGGTAAGGCTCTGATGGATAAGTCATGGCTGTAAATATTTTTCCCACGTAGCGGTGGAAATACCTAATTAAAGACAATCAAGTCATGCCCATTCTAATGTGCAGAAATTATCAATGAAATACTATATTCAAAAGAAGTTTTTAATTTAGTTCTAAATGTGGGTTTGATATGTTTTATGCGCTAACAATTACGAATGACTACTGCAGTTAAGACGTCTTCAAACCCACGAATTCATTACTCGGCAGGTAACATTGTGTTTAATAAATTATGAAGGATGAATAACATGGGCGAAACATGTAGTGTGCGTGAGAACCAAGAAAGAAATTCGAAATTTCGGTTGGAAAATATCAAGGAAAGATAGTACTTGGAAGGTCCAGTCACAGACCTAACTAGTAACAACTGCATGAAATGACAGTATAATATTTGTCCTTAAATGTTATCTCCGAAACTACTCCATGATCTTTGTTAATTTCGTATGGAGCCCACACTACAAGTTGTCAATTCACTGTAACTTGGTATCAGTCAAATATAAACCGTTTTACGTGAGGACCAAGCTAACGTCGGTTTACCCAGAAACGGCTAAGCACTTGTACTTATGTTTGATATCTGTCAAACTGAAATCTAAACGACATTTTCGCCGCCATTTTGTCTACATTCTACAGAAGATAACGTACCTGAAGCTGAATATTTTTCATTAATCTATTGCTATAGGCCTAAATTATTTCAGGACTATATATTAGGTGAAGCTAGTGTCGCTCCCATTTCAGAAGTTCGTTTGTCCACTACGTTAATAATCATTGTAAAAATGTAAAACGTAAAAGGCAAAGACCAAGTTTCGTGAATATTAGTTGACATACGCACCAGCACGGTGATCTTACAAGCCTACTTGCTTTTCTTAAGAAGGAAAGTTGGCTAAATGCTCTGAAAGCAGGTCCCAAACATCATATGTCGTTCAGGGCAAATTTTGTAAGCTCACAACCCTGCCTCGTTCGGAAGCCATATTACAACACAGAAATAGCGTTTTGCTAGATGTATGTTTTTGTTTCTTTTAAAAATTATTACCTGCTGTTAATACAAGACAATAATAAGGAATATTCTTATGACTTACATTTTTGCGAGTTACTTCCACATAATTCATAAAAGGGACGGAAGTGTGAGGCCGTATTGTCCTTCCGTATTCTTCGTCTAGGAAAGTATTAGGCACGTTCTGTTGCTGTTTGGTGCTGGAGATTTGCACTAAAGTTGACAGGCAAACTTCCATCGTTGCCCTAGATGGGAACAAAGTCCCGTTACTAAAAATTAATATGACAGAAGGCTATTTAATTAAAAAGTTTTCCTATGCCACTTATACAAAATAATTTGTCTGATAACATTAGAGAACAAGACCGCTTTCCATGAAGCATAGGAAATGTTACTTTTTAGTCTTAAAAAGTACATTACTTTAGCCGAAAAACATAAAAACTTTTTTGTAAAAAAAGGGAGAGCAACACACTGAAATATTTCGGTTTAAATGTGATTTTTGCACAGCGTACTGTAGTATTTATTTTGTATGATGAAATGATCAAACTTGTAGGCTGGCTGCTTAAACCCTACAGAAAGAAACACTGATAACTATTACAATTATTTAGTTCAAAAACTATTATCAATCTGTATATTTTATAGATCACTAAAACGAAGGATTATAAAGCAGTAACTTGCTGTTTTGTATAGTTGTGTAATGTGGCCTCTTACTGTTCGGAATAACATAATACCTAGATTTTAGAAACAAAGTGCTAAGGTTAAAATGGCTCTGCTCATGAAAAACTTCAGAACCACCATATCAGATTGTGATATAAACACGTTATAACTAATTAAAAATATTAAAAACCTGCAGAGGTCACTGCACCATGGAAAAAGAAGAAAACAAAAACATGAACAAAATCAAGATTAACAATATCAGCAAGACAATGGGGAAGAAGAACACGATGATATTCATACATTTTGAGTCAATCTATATTTCACTTTTCAATTCTTCTTTTCCAGGAAAATCAGAGAGCAAGGACAGTCCAGAGAAAGAGAAATCTGATCCCCCGAAAGCTAAACCAGTTAAAACACCACCCAAAGGAGGTAAATGTAAATGACTGAATTTGGATTATTTGATGTTTATTATAATTAATATTTGTTATTAATTAACACTTCTCGCCTCATTTCCAGAGCCTGGATCAAAGTGCACTACAAAGGAACTGCAGCAGTAACAATCGATCATGGGAATAGAACCAAAAACACCATCACAACAGCTATCCAGAGAGTGAACACTTTCGCCAATTGTCAAATACCGAAGACTACAACTATAAATATGCATTAGAGAGTACAGAACATTTTTCAAGAATATAACATCAAATGAATCAATTATTAATTTTTTGATAGCTGATCTTCAAAACAAGGATTAGATTAACAACAAATTGGTCTGGAAGATTTCAAACATTTGTGGTGGCTGGACAAAAATATTATTGCAAAATTTAATGGTTTGATATTTTGTAGAAACTTAGAATCATGGTAACATAGGCAACAAATTGTTGCAATGCGCATTATGTCCTCAGATCATACATAAGGGAAAATTTAATTGGTTGCTCACTGCATAGACAAGGTCCCTTAACATTTCATGTCAAAAATAAATTGACACAATTATATCTTGGAATGTCAAAATATATAAGTGAACTAAATTATGGAAGATCATGCTCAGAGTACAGATACTCAATTCAGTAGCAAGACATGATACATTTAAAAAGCACTGAGATAAATATAATACAACAGGAATATGTATATATAGCCTCTCACACTGCTGTTGATATATAATTTTCTCTAATAGTCTCTTTGAAATATCTACATTAAAATTACATTACTGATAACTACATACTAAAGAAAGCTGCCAGTGAGATTCTAATCAAGTCTGTACCACAGCTTCTTCACTGACATGACTGTTTCATTCACATGTTCCCTCAGTTTGAGGCTTCCATAAATATTGTACCAAAATTATTGAATGAAGATGTAAAAAATGTTAGCTCAAGTTTTAAAGGCTTGTTTAAACCCAAACATGATATAATTATTTTATCAAGGAGACCCATACAATCCATCTATCACAACTACTATCAAATGCTTCAGGAAAATATCAGATCAATAATATTCATATAAAAACATAGTAATTTATTAGTAATTATACTGATGTCTTAGTGATTAACCTATTTAAAGTCAAATATAAGTGTTATACAAGAAAGGGAACTGATTATTATCATGAAAGGAAATATTTAAAATATACAACCTGATGAAAAGTCCATCCAGCATTCAGAATAGATTCCTAATTCTGAATGCTGTCTTATAAGCTGCAACTTCCAATGGTGCCAACCACCAAAAATCAAAATTCCCCTTTATTTTTCCCACATTGGGGCTGTAAAATATGAATGTTTTTTCTACAACATGGCAGTGAAAGCAATCCACATCATAGTTCAATTTGTTCAGAAAAGTTGAAAAATCAAATTGAAAACAATTGACCTAATAATAATAATAGTAGTAGTAACATATTCCCTTATTAAATTGCCATGGCTTTCTTTGATAAATGTATCAGCTGTCCCTATTGTTGCCTGGATTTCTTATTAAATATTTACACTGCAAAACAATATAAGTTTTTTCCATGTTTTCACTGTGATGTGAAATAAGTGCTGATACAGACTAATGTTGCTGGCACAACAGTATTGCTCTATAAAATGCTGGACAAACCACAGAACTTAATCCTTACAAAACAGCGTCATATGCTTGTTGTATGGGATTAAAAAGTAACCCAACTTCTAAGTGTTCAGAGAAGCCAACTTTACTTAAGAAATAACTGCCTTCTTTCAGCAATTGATTAGACTTCTTGTACAAGCAAGCAAATAAGAAACCCTTCTATTATGTCAATGCAAATAATAAAAAATTAAAAATAATACTGAATGTGTATAGAAGTGTGTGAGCACATGCACATACACACAACAATCCTTAACATGTACTTTGCCCACATTCTTTCTCATATTAATCTCCATGTTTTAATTGTCTGGTCATCCTACTATCACTGAAAATTATGCAAGTTTAGAGTAAAGGATAGTATTTTTTAAACACACATCATGTGAATTTATTAGTGACTGAGATATAAAATGAAACATAACTTCAACACATGAACATAAAAAAGTGAATGACAATTTTAACTTCATATGATGTATCACAGAAACCAGTTTTTTGTGGTTGTTTTTGTTTAGTATTTAAAATATAAAAGTAAGAACTGTGGCACGAGAAAGGCGAGTCTAACTTTGAAGCTGTATTCCTTTCACACAAATGAAGTCAGATTCATTAAATGTAAAATACTTTTTATTTAATTGTCTAATTTATTGAAAGATGGTCAGGCTTCCTTACAGGGGGAGGAGAAAAAAGAAAGAAAAAAGTGTCACTTTCTGATTGTAAATACATCTGCAGCACATTATATATATTACTGTTTGTGATAAGAAGAATTCATCTAGTGCTTTATCAATGAATTATCTCTGTAACAAAATTAATATTTCCATTAATTAGTATTACAGATTTTGTGCATTTGGACCCCATTACATGACACTGCAAGAGTTCAAAATTCAAACCACTAAAAGAAAGCTCAGTATCTTGTACACATAGGAAAATGTTCAGAAATGTTTTTTTGTAGACAGTTGTATTCAATCTACTGAAATAAAATTCAGGTTAAAGAACTAGCTAGAGAGTTTTCATACAAGGGAAGATATTAAGATTCCTAATAATAAGCTCATTCAGTTAATTTCTGTACAAGAAATAAATTACAGTAATGTGGGAAAGATTTTTTCCAACAGTAGTCATTCACAATACAAAGCAGGCGTTATGGGCATATGCTACAAAGTATATGAAGGCCATATAATTCAGTTTTATGGGAATTATAATGTAGCATAATAAGGAGACATGAGATCAAAGAGCAAACAGATTAAAAACAGATAGGAGAGACTAATACCTCAGAAGAAATTTAAAGGTGGAGAGAATATGATCTTTGCTTAACTACCATGCAAATGAGACCTTTGTCACCAACGTAAATATGCAATCATCTCATCTTGGAACAGGCATGACTGTGGAAGGAAGAAAATACACATTCTAAAGTTAAAAGATAGCCTGCAGTTCCAACAGAAACAAAACAAACGAAGCAGCAGTTGGGTACCCTGTAAAGGTGGAAAATTATAATAGTAGTGTGACAGAGAACTTCTGTCCTTAAATCACTTTCTTTTCACAGATCTATTTTCGCAAAATTCTGAATACAGATATTAAAAGCATTTTACACTATGCTCAGAAATATTCAATCAGTCTTCTCAAACATGTCGCCTTGTGATCATTCATAAGAAGACATAGTCAAGAGAAAATAAATATGTACACAGAATAGTTCACTGAAAATGTCTTCTAATCGAAGCTGTGGCTAGGTATATATTGGCCAGCATGTAGTCATGCAGAAGAATATACTCTCTAGTTCAGATACTGAATTACAATCTACCTGCATTTTAAAATTCTGGCTGCAAAAATATCATACTTATGATGATTTTAAAGCAGCTATTTAAACACGGGTACTACAGCTTTCAAGTACATTTCTTAGTAACATATGCATTCTAAGACCAGTGATTTCTTTAATAACATCTGATTTTACACTATTTTTTTTATCTGTGTTAGAATGAATATCCTTCTTGCATGGCCAATGCAGCAGCATCAGCTATTTACCACACCATGCCACTGATAAAAGGATGAACTGCTCTGTATATTACATATATTCAGATGAATGAATGTTAATGTCAGATGTTCAATTTGTTTGTTAATACTTATGTATGAGATATAGTTAAATTCTTATATAATTTGGTTGTATCATTGAAATGGATGCAGTTTACAAACTGAACTTCTTGGAGTTATCTCTCTAATAGCCACATACATAAACACAAATCTATCTCTATTCAATTCAGTTGTTGTAACAACAGAAAACTAAACACTTCAAACATAATCTTACACTGTGAATATTCAGTTTACATCAATGAGATATGACTGAAAGTTTGAAGATTTCTGTCTTCTGGGTTGTTGCGCTGTGTAGTCTGGTCGATGTTAACCAATGTTTCAGAGGTCATACTGCCTCCGTCATCATCACCCTGATTGGTTAACATCGACCAGACTACACAGCGCAACAACCCAGAAGACAGAAATCTTCATACTCACTGTTGTGAAAACCTCAAATCTTACAGACTGAAAATTTGTCACACTGAGTCAACAAAAGTAACAAAACGTCAGAGATCCATTATTCATACCTGCAGCAGATGACAGAGTTAAGCCGCTATACTGAAATTGTACCATCACAAAGCAGCAAAACTAGGACAACAACAAATATCAATAGTAAAAGCACAGGCAACGAAAGTTATAGTTGTGCTAATTACATGTTCTTTTATAGATGTTTATTATATGCAATGCAAGGAAAAAAGTAGACATAGAAAAGTTTTGGTGGAAAGTTTAACTCAAAAAGATGCTTTACATGTTGTACAACTCAACACTCCTAGAATAAAAGTGAACTGTAGTTAGTGAAGATAAGACATTCTAAGAATTCAAATCTTTAAGTGTAGAAAGGAACAGTATATCACTGTCAGTAACAATACATCAGGAAGGTGTGCCATGAGCAGTCAAAATTGTAATGTTGTGTCACACTAGCATTTGGATTAGATCCACATCACTTGTTAAGCTGCACCCAGTGAATCTGAAGCTCAATTCGTCCATGGGACAATACACACACACACACATATACATACAAATTAGGTATCTGGAAACATGGTATTTGGTAGTGTTCTGACCTGGACAATAGCCTATGAACAGTTATCTATGGAGTCATGGGAGATGAATGTTTCCTGTGTAATATTGACCAAATGTTACTATATCAGTAACTGACTTTTCTGTTTTCTGGATATTGAATCACTACAATATCTCCAAGTGAAGTAGGGATGGTAAATATGTATGCTGGTGTTATCTTTCAATAAAGTCAAATCTAAATTTGCCTTTCACAGAGTACCCTCCACCACCTTCCAGATACCTACATATATGGTCATTTGTTTGAGTGCCTGCATGTGTGTGGAGAGTCATCTCATAGATTAAGGGGTAACAAATCAATACTGCATAACCAACTTACATACACAAAAATGTCTTAATGTTATAATCATTTATAAGCAGATCTAAGTTGCAGTTTTCTGAAAGTAATGATAGGAGTATAACACATTGATCTTTTTGGATACTTTTATTTCTAAAATATTATTACACATGCTATAGCTGCTAAAAATTTGAGATGACTTGAGTTCAGTTTCTCAGTTTTACCAACATTTGCAAAAGGTTTCGCACACCCACACACAGTCTCAATGTATAGGAAGCATTTTGCCACCAGTTCAGTCACATTTAATGGTCAGGTTATCCAGAATGAAGACATGCTAGTGGATACTTAACGAACTTCTGATTTGTTGCCAGATGACATAAGCTGATTAGCTAAACATATAGCTCTGTCTTGTCTTATACTTTCCCCTCATTGCCCCATGTACTGATAAAAATACCCTCAAAGAAAAGTACACTCCCTCCTTAGACAGTATACATTCATTACATTATTATTAATGTGGACTGAATTTTATCAGCTGATCCATGTGATGTATAAGAAATCAACGCATTGGAGATGTAGTAGTCAGACAATGTTCACTGTGTGTAGTTTCTAAAAGAAATGAACACTGAGGATCCAAGAAGTATTTCACTGAAAATATGACATTACATATATGTTGATCTGTAAGTTTCCTTTCAAATAAAATTCATAATAGAAAATAAAATTTCATGAAAACGTCTCCTAATATGCTTGTGACACATCTTCCTCAATTTTAGTGTTTAAAACACACACACAATAAAATGTAATTCCCACACAGGTATGTGAATATACCAATTAACTTCATATACTTTATCATTAATTTCTTTCTCAAAATATTTATGTTCAGATTTGAAATTTTAGAAGTGTCTTATGTATATATGACAACATCCACTTGGCTTCTTCTTCTCCATTGAAATTATCAGTCTGCACCTCAGAAAAGTCTCTCAGCAACCTCAATTGCCCAAAAATTGTCAATTGATATAACTGTAATGGGAATACTGTGTACTGGGTGAACCTAAGCATTGTTTTCAAAGTAATGTATGTTAAATAACTGATGTTAAACATACTATTATTCTGGAGGAAAGTGCTTTTTTATATGTGCAATTATACAGGGGCCTTTGGATGCAAAGCTAGGTCCATGTACAACTAAACGTGTTCACAATAAAATTAAAATGATAAATGTGTACTGGATCAATTCATATAGTAGGTAATGCTTTATAGTCTCTAATTATGTGAATGATTGTATATAATTTTATGAAGACGTTTTCTAAAATAAAGGCTTCCGTGATACATTTAGACACCAGCACAAACAAAATGTTATTCTTCATCTAACCCATACTCTAGTAGTAGAACCTTGTGCTTTAAAATCAGCAACACCAAGGCCTGCCAGTGTAGATAATGGGCCAGTTCCATCCACTGTCACTCCTAAATCCATGTTATCCTCCCATCTCCTTCCACCTTCAAAAAAGGCCATCTTCCAAGATATTTCTTCACCAACATTCTGTATGCATTCCTTCTTTCCTTTACCCTAGCTACAAGGCCAGCACATTACAACATGCCAAATTTCATTACCCTAACAATACTAGGCGACCTATATAAACCATAAGGTCCCTCATTATGCAATAACCTAAACAGACCACTTCCTTCACCCACTTTAGGTCCAAATATTTTATCAGTGCCTTCTTTTAAACACTTGTAATTTATGTTCTTCTAAAATTAAGAAACCTATTTCATACCCATACAAAAGAGGCAAAGAAATGGTCATCATGATTCCTACACCAAATATGAAACCACAATGAATACTTGCAAGAAATAAGTCCCTTAGCACATAACTTCCTACCCAAAATAAAAGACAAATCCAGTGTGAAATTTTCACTAGTTTTCCAATTCTCTGTGACCATCATTAGAATAATGGCAGGCACTTAAAGGAGAGCTCTGTAGGGAACTGTTTAAGAAATTTAATATTCTTCCACTAGCCAGCAAATTCTTGCTCTCACTATCATCATTTGTATTGGATAATGTAGAAATATTTCAAAGAAACTCAGATGACAAAATATTAGTACAAGGTACAAATAAAACCTTCATATGCCAAACACTAAACTTAGTAAATAACAAAAAGGAGTTTACTGTACTGGACTTAAGCTATTTAATAATCTTTAATTCACTATAAAAAGTATAAATCACAGTATAAAGAAGTTTAAGCCAGCACTAAAACAGTTCCTTCTTCTCCATTGAAGAATTTACCTCAGCCAAAAATTCTCAGCTATTATAAATAAATATAAACAATAGTGGTTTTACTGACTTATGTAATTATTTTTGCAGGAATACTGTAGATGATAGCAAATTACTGCCATACCTATGTAATTACATTTGTATAAAAACAAGTTTTTTTTACTATTACATATTCTACATCCTTGCCTTAGGACAATGAAGGATCTATGGAATGTAAATAAATTCTATTTTAATATATGCACACCAACCATGTAACGTACATAAACTATTAATAGCCTAACTAAAAACATCTAAACTAGTCTAACCTAACGGGCAAAATTAAATAAAATCAAATTCAATGTTTATAGAAAGCAACCTCCCTTAATGACAATGTTCATCTTGTATAAAATACATAAAAAGCTGTAGGACATTCTGTGGCCTATCAACTGTCATACCACATCCACTTTAACATACATCCACACTACTTCTTTCACAACCATCTAAGGCTTGGACATCAAAATCAGAATACTATTCCTTGTCTGCAAATACAGATATTGTTCCATATATTTCTCAATGTACGATTTGCACAATTGTAGGTTTATAACAGATGAAGGTATGACACAGATTTTGATCCCAATGTTACATATTTTATTAATTTCTTGTTCCAAAATACAGAAAATTAAAAATTTTATGAACATAAAAACAATGTAGAGTCTGCAAGTGGTATGTTGAACAGTACTTACAAGCAAGTGGGAGTTCATCAATTCTTAGCACTCAACCTTTTACAAAATTTAACCACTTCATGAAAATTAGTAATATTACTGGATATAAACATAAATGTATTTTGAGTTAATCAAAATGAACACTTCACATTGGTCAAGTTCAATTTTAAAGATTTTAATTTTCTTAGATTGGTTTGATCTTGAAATGAAGCCCAATAAGAGAAAACACCAAACACTTCAGATCTTGCACTAAGTAGTAAAAGCAGCGCAATCCTTCTGGGTCGCGGGACTGGTTCACATCTACTAGCGACCCTGTCTTCGATGTTGTAAATGAAATATGCTCATCACCAATCACGATTTCCAGCTCTTGTCGACCAACTCGGTCAGGTTGCGGCCAAAGAGAGTCATCTTCTTGCATAATTTCAGAATCGTGTATTATACGCTTCAGTTCTTCCATAACACAATTGTGAACATACGCCTCCTTCCGAATCATTGTATCATTCTTATAATTGGAATTATTGGCGTACCTTAATTTTCCATCAGGTCGAAATTCGAATTCAAGGAACTCGTGTCCGAACTTCCCTTTATGTCCAACATAATAACGAATGTAAAAATCAGTTCCTGACATTTGTTACAGCTGTATATTACTTGAAGCACAGAATCACTCAGCTCCTCGACGAACGTTCCCTTTAGCCAGAATAACAGACAGCACCTAATGAAATGATCTTAGGCAAGGAAATCTAGCAAATTCATATACTTCTGTACCTATACCACTCACCGGTACTGGCTTCGCTTTTGTAGTTTATTTACCATTAGCCAAATCACAGATAAAAAAGGGTGACGGAAGCAAAGAGAATAAAGCGAAGGGCGTCGTCACTGTGATCGACGCTTTCCTTCATGAAATATTTGTTCTACAGGCGGATTTTAAAAACTCATGTTCTGTAGAAGGAAACATTAAAACTCTGAATAAATGTTAATGAAATCTTGACGGATAATAAGCTGCGTCGGGTGGCCTTAAAAAACCGACGTTTCGAAAGCAATCTCGGTCCTCGTCATAAGGGATCTGATGTCTGCTGAGGCCAGAATGTCATATATATAACGTCGGCTTTTTATGGCCACTTGACGTGGTTAATTGACCGTGATGGCTTCACTGAATTTTGAAGCAAGGAAAGCTACAGATCATATATCTGAATAAATCTCTAATGTGCCGTCTGAAATCCGACAGTTGGCTCCACTGGATATAACAAGTAGTTCTTTGCCAGAAATTGCGAAAAAATAGTAGTAGCAGTAGCAGTGGCAGTAGTGTTGATCGTCAACAACAATAATAATAAAAAAGAAACTTATCTTATTGGAAACATAGCTGTGACATTACTGATTGCCAAAGCTGGTCTCAATATTATGGCAAGAAGAAAAATCCTGGCTGTTTCTGGGAATCAAATCTTTGCCAATCATGTTACCAACAGCTATACTGGTTCATCTGTATAATGTACAGGATATTAAAACAAAACATCCCTATTTCAACATAAACTTCTGTTATTTAGTAACATTTCTTTTCTGTATCTGTTGTATGAAAAAGGTGTCACTACACATACCACTGAGTAGCACTAGTGAAAGGCATAGTACATACAACAGGATTTTAGTATTTATGACTTCTGTACGAGAGCCCATAAACCTATGAGTCATGGCTGCTACTGACCCTCTGTTTGTGTGAACATGTACAGCATTACTTCAAACAGCAATCTTTACCAATATAAATTAGAAAAGTTCTGCTTCCAATAAATTATAAAATAAGTAAAAAACACAAGTTCAATATTAGTAGTAGCAGTCAGCATAGTCACTAGTACCACCTTGACTATTTGCATCTATGTAGAGTGAGATTCTTTATAAGTCTGTAGTGTAGCATCCTCGTGTTATGTTAATCTTGGTTCTTTCTGTATCACTCTACAATAATGCACCACAGCACATACAACTCAAAGACATAACACAGGGACACACAAAATTGCACTAAAACATTTTTGATATCCTTTTTCTTTTGCATTTTAACTGATTTAAATTAAAAACGGTTTAATATATACTTTTATTATTTTTGGGCATCAGGGAGATCTGTAATGACACACAAGCAGGAATTTAACCTGATGATGGCCACTTTGGTCTGAAACATATTGTTAAAGTCAAAAGACAAGTGAACAGTTACACAATGTCATCTGATTGTTATGTATGTTTTCTTTGTGACCTAACCGTCACATAGCCAAAAGATGCTATAGGACATCACACGTGTATTACTGGACTGTAAGTATTTAGACATTTGCAGATGCATATTACAGTTTTGTATCACTCAGTTTTGCTGAATGTTTGGTATACATGGAACATAATTTTATTTGAGCTGTATTCAGAATATACAGAAATAACAAGTATTTGTAAATTATGACTGTCAAGGAGGAGGAGGAAGAGGGGGGAGAAAATAAAAGTCCAAATCTTTCAAGATGTGAAGGTAATTTCATAACACCAATATATAAATTTATAACCAAAAACAAAATTCAGCAGTTCCCTTAGACAAAGCAGAAAGATTAACAAACTTTAACATGTATTTGTAAATTGTTGATAAGGTCTGGGAAACATTTCAATTACCCACTTCATCTTGTTGGTAAAATCATGTCTCATGCACATCTTTTCATTTGGACAATAAGTGGGTAGGACATCAAAGGGTTTAAAACAGCAGTCAAGTCTCCGCAGTGTTGAAAGAAATGTTTCCAATAATTAATTCAAATATATGACCAACTTTCTTGTATTATTTGCAACAAGACTTGATTTACAAGATAATAAATAAAGGCTAATATACTGTAATAACAAGATTACAAATCACTGTACTAAAAATTAAATGTAAAAAAGGGCACAAAATAATCACAGACAAACAAACAAAAAACATTTGTATACATATATATATATATATAACGAATGAGTGATGGTACTGATGTTTGAGAAGAAAATAAATTATTAAATAGAACTCTCAGAATGAAGATAAAGTATTCACATTACACATGATGAATGCAATTTTTACACTGTACATACAGTATATTGTACATAAAGCCAAACTGGCAAGTAAATAAAGGCAAAGTATAGTGCAGAAAACAGAGAGAGAGAAATTAATATTTTGAGCACATTATGTGAACATAATGTTCTGTGAAACTTATACAGAAATTTACAAGAGAAATTCTTCCCAGTCTTCACACACATACACATTATGTATCTGTATATACATCTTTGGAATGTTTAAAATACTCATGCATTTTACAGCCATCAATAGAAAGATGACTGTTTTCAACCATATCCCCCAATTCAAAAACAGTAACAATGTGGCATAATCAACTTTCATAGGCTTCCAGCATCCAAAATGTGTTGAACTTTTTTCTGCCATTAGTGCATTAAATGACATACACAATACTGTCCCACCCACACACTAAGAAAAATCATTTACATAGATAAGAGATAGTGTTTATTCCACAATAATATTAGTTGTATTATAGGCTACTACAACACTACTGCAACATGCAAGTATGTGATTCTACAGTAAAAACACCTGATGCAACAACTATTTGCAGACAAACAATCTAGAATTAAATCCTTACTATTTACACAACACAATCATGATAACATTAATTAACAAGAATGATAATAACATATGGCACTTCAGGTTTCAAACAATTTCCATTTTGCATTGCAGTATTGTTTACAAATGATTGTGTTGGTCTGCGGCAGAAAGCTATGTGCACGATGAGTGACTAATTCTCACTCTTGCTGTATAATAGGCCGTAAGATTAGATATTTTAATCTGTACAAGTGAACTTGACTGCAGTGAGTCAAATGAATTACAACTAAGTGACAAATTGTTCTAGGCAAGAGCATCACAAAACATCAAGATAAGATGCAAGACCATCCTAGTAACATGGAAATAAACTGCCAAAGTTGTAATGTTCAACTGTAATACTGTATGTATCGACATGGAAACTGGGTATTCATTATAATTATAACCACATAAGAATATGCTGTATTTTTATGTTCTTAACCCTTTCTCTGCCAGAAAACCAAGTGAGCTGATGACACAGACTGGGATAGGCCTACCACAGTCTGATCTGGCCAATGCTTAGAAGCTGCAATTTATAGAGGCCTGTATTGCACTGTTATCCAAAATACTGGATTTCTGCTTCTTTTCTGGATATATTAGTCTTTTGTGTTAGTTTTGTTAAAAATAACCATACATTCTTGCACAGCCTGTAGCAACAGATTTGGCAGTGAAAGGGTTAATTTATTGTTGACTATATGCCAAAGGAAAGTCTTCTAGCAGCTTTCAACCATTGACTTTCAGTTACTCATAAAGAAGCCATAAAAACATGGACAAATTAAGAACATATTTTCTTCAAAACTGCTTAAATCTTATTTCTATCCTAATACAGCAACAATGGGGTCTGGGCTTATAAGTAACTCAAAGTCTCAAGATTGAACTACCCGTTATTACCTTGTTTTTAAAATTATATTTTACCCAAGGAAGTTTGGGTCAAAAGGTTAACTTACATGTAGTAATTGGAAGTGTAAGACCAAATTCAATGCATTATTTGCATACCCTTAACATTAATTAAAAATTATGTGGGTAACCAACATGTGAGAGTATCACAGGTTAAAATGCTATATGTAAACAGTAGAAGCAGAAATGTTGAAAGGCTCTTTTCATCTAATCACTGATGATTCTAGGCATGTGGCTGTACTTTGGAATTTTCCAAATTTGGAACCATTTCTATTAATAAATACACATTTATTTAAGAATCTGCCCTACAAAAGGCATTTTTGGCATAAATCAACTCCCAATCACTTCATGTAATTTTTATTATTATCTATATTAAAAGACGGACTCTGCAGAACGTGAGAGGTGTATGGGGTGTGATGGACTACGAGCCAGACGCTTCTTTGGCAATTTCTCCAGTGTCTTTAAAAGACAGGTAAAGTCAGGACGTTCTCCTGGTCGGTATGACCAACACAGCATGAGGATATCCTGTTGACAAGTACACAGACGCTCATTCTCAGTTTTACTCACAAATATCCATACAATTTAATTAATATCTGCTCTATTTTAAGGAGATTAATGGAGTAGGTTAAGTGAGATTAAACTAATGTTTAACAGATTTTGCATAGCTATATTGCCTAAGCCTAATTCCAAAAGGAAATTTTAACCCTGCACTTTCCCCTTTCTGCTCCATCCTCAGAAACTGATGATGGTAATAACAACAAAAATATTTATTATTATTTCTAATGCCTCTATCTTCAAGTGGAATCACCATA